TTTAATGTATATCATTTCTAATACCGATATTTTTGGTATGTGCCGGTATACCGTGTTTCTTACTGCAATACCGGAATCTGATTTGAATACCATCAACACTAATTTCTTAGTCGCCGAGGTCGAAATTAACATTATTTATTGTTGATTTTCTTGTTTGAATGATATTTACCTATTTCTTCAACAAGTATTATCAGATTTATTATGACATCACAGTTTTATTAGTGAGTGTGGTACGTATTTTTGCTTTTGTGTTTTTAATAAAATAAAATATTGATATGCATAGATATTCTATAAATTTGAAATTTAATATTGAAAAATGTTATCTTGTAAAATGTTAAATGAATAGACATAATTAATAACTTTTATAATAGGTATAGCTTGTTTTTTTCTATCGATAGGTAGTTATAATTAATCTTTTAAATTAAATTTTTTTCTTTAACGTTACCTAATGATTATTAACGATTGTGAGAAAAAAGTATAATAATTTATTCTTATAAATCGCGTAGAACATTTTGTGAACGGATAAACTAACAAAAAGTTTTGTCGTTGACCTTTGTGGGTATGTGACTTTGTACTTAGGCATTCGTGTAATTTTTATCAGCTGAACTTATAACACCCAGAATGAAACGTGTTTATTATGACGTGAAATGAGTTTTATCTTAGCAAAATACACTTATTTACAACATAATATGATTGCAGGTGTCAAAGGTTTTGGATATCGATATATAATACATGCCGAATATTTAATCTTCGTTTATTTATTGGAGTAATAAAAGTAGGTACCGATTTATGGAAGTTTATACGATCACATTTGCATTGTAATTAAATATAATGGAAATCGCTAATCTACGCTTATTATAACGATAATATTGGTTGTACAGAAAGGATCTAGTTGTCAAAATTAATATATTTTTGTATAAGTAAGATTGTAGTACTCGTGTCTCGTAACTATCGTAACCTTATTGTGACTGTCCGTGGAAATAATAATGTACCACTTATAATATATTATATATTTATATGCGCAAATATAATTTTACAATATGTAAACGTGTGATTACTAAAATAATATGTAGATTTAATAAATAGCCAGACGCATGTCCTTCCCCCGGGTTTCGAAGAGGAGCAGATTTAACCTTTGAAAATAGTACAGCAATTAATGATTAATAAACCAATACATGTATGCAGATTGGATTTGAGTACTACAGTGTATGTACACTATTTTAGTCACAACACGTGTTCATAAAAAAAAATTAATTAATCTAAAATTTCGGATTATTTAATGTTTGATAACCTAAGAGGTTATAATCATAGATATATCAAAACAACAGCGTTATTGTATATTATGCCTAAGGATTACGGTTATTACACGCAATACATTTATTTATGAAAATAATATAACGACACGATAGATGCATGGAGATTACAAAAAACAGTAAACATAATGTACAACTTGGTAAACTTTTAAAATATATTATTTAAAGTCAAAAATTAATAGAAAAAATCTAGTTAACCACACCTTGTCAATTTTTTTTTTTTTTAACTTGTGTATTATAACGCGTTTAATTTTACAAATATTAATGACTAGTGATATTAATGTATTATACAGTGAAACTATCAATGGTCAGTTAAGGCTGGTGTCCATTGTGTATGTATACTGGCTTGAGGCTTGGGTACCTATTTCTTTAATCAAACTATCAAACGTATCTATTTAATGGAAATATTTTATTTTTATGAAAAAAAATACCCTTAATAAATATTAATATATTTTATATATAAGTACACAGTATGTATTACACAACTACACGCATAATTATCATAAATATACGCAATTAATACGTTATCGTTAACATTATCACGTGCCTCGTAAACGTTGAACGACAGCGTTGTGGCGTAGACTCGTAGTGCCTTTGGTCAATTATATTTGAGTTTAAACTAAGATTGTAGTCCGCTTTTAAGATATTCAAGAAAAACGCTACTGCCCGTGTTCATTATGGACGGAGTCTATTTTGGACTGGCTGACATATACACTGGAATAACTATGATTTTTTGCATTGAGAGAATTATTCATTAATTCAGGTTTCGCTATATTATTACTTATTCTATATAATAAACTACATTTTAAACTGTTATCGTATAAATTTCTAAATATTCCGCCGATGGGTAATGGTTATTATAAGTCAGTAAATTTTAATTGAGTTTATAAAAAGTAATAAAAATAAAGATTAGTGGTTAAAATATGAAAGCTCTTCTTATTGCGAGAATAGTTATGGAAATAAAATAATTTTAAAGGTGAAATGATTTTATTAAACTAAATTGTTTAAACCCCCCCCCCCCCCCCCCCCCCCAAAAAAAAAAAAAAAAATGATATTCATAATCACATTGGCGTGTGTATAGTTGTGCAAGCATAACTAACTGTAAATAATTTAAAAAATCAGCTATTGATATTTTATAGTCAAAATATTTCACATCTATACAATAAATAACAATGTAATGTACAAAATATAACTACAATTATTATGAGTAGCAGGAGTGTAGTATTAACGTTCTTTCGTCAATGCCTTCAGATTCACTTTAAAATTTAAACCATAAAATATACGTAAACGTCGAACTCAATTCACCTTGTTTCATAAAATTCCAGAAAAATATACAATCGCAAAGGGCCAACCGTTTTTAGTATTATCATTATACAACAGTGTCAATGTCCAGTGGCCAGTATAAAGAGATCATTTTAAAATTTTCAACTGAAAAAATTCTAATTTATTAGATAAATTTACAAAATAATTCATAAATGGAGCTTTTCCGACAGCAACACTTAATCTATCAATTGTTTTCGATATATTATATGCCTAAGCTGCAAAGACGATCTATCAGTCAGAATAGAATATGATTTATTTATATTGATTCTAAGTTAATTTATTTTACTATAATCATTGATTTTAGAATAATATAGTAGGTATATTAGTATATTTTAAAATCTATGCTATTACTAATACGGTAGGTTGAATTAGTTTTACAAAAGCATTGAATTTGTAATTATCATTGTGTGTATAAAAATTTCAAGTACTCATGAATAATATTATTAAATAACAAACAACAATTCTTTTGCCATATTTTCAATCTTTTGCTTCAAAATTAAAAATTTTATAGATTTTAAATATTGCCGCTTGTACTAAATTTTTAAGCATTTTACCAAACATAAAATTTTGTATCGACATATGCAGAAAAAACTAAAAAAATGTTGACAGGCGTAAAATAAAAAAATGTACATCATTGTGAAGTCAATACATATATCGCTGCGCTCATAATTTAAAATTAATTACTTTTAAATTGATGCTAGGTATTAACTTACTTCCATTAGATTTGAAAAAATACCACTTCTACCGATATCACAGTAATCTATAATGGTTCTCGTCATTCTCGGTGTCTAGATTGACTAGATTCTCCAAAATTTTTCATGGGACATTGCTGGACTAACGGTAAGTCGATAGTTCAATCACTAGTTATTTATTAATTTTGGTGTATATGACTTAACTTGCTATAATATTAATCTGATTGGATAGAAACATTTTTGATAGACGATGTTGCGGGCGGAAAACTTTTCAAAAATTTAACTTTCGGAGCAGACGTAAGTGTGTGATAAACAATTATTACCTTTATTAATAGCTATGTTAAATTATAACATAAATATTCTGTTTGGACAAAAAAAAAAATACTCAATAAATCAGCAAATTTTGTAATAAGAGTATTTACTGAAAATATTATGTTAAACGCAACGAAAGAAATATTATTACAATAATTTCGCATAGTTTCACGATAATTAAACATACATCAACGTGTAGTTTTTGCCTATAGCTAGTGCCGCTCACACCCTTCAGTTCACGTCATGTTAGTATAACATTAATGTTACGAGTATATTAAAAATTTGTCGTGGAACTATTCGATAAGATTGTCTAAACAATAATGTCATAACAAATTGGTGAGTACGCATGTATATTTTTTTGAATCACTGTAATTTCTGTTATTTATATATTTCGAGGTAAAAAGGAGGTCTTAAAATAAAATAATTGACGTATAATATTATTTTGTACTTTGTTTGAATAAAGATATCGTAATACATATTTTACATGGATCATTATATTATATTCAAATATCAATAATATATATATAAATAATTATTTATTCTAGTCTTATACTAATCTTAAATAGATAAAATTTAATATTTGTTTACAAATATGTTTGTTTGTTTTTTTTTTTTTTTAATTGATAATTTTTTGCTTTAAATATAATGCGATGTTGTATATTCTTATACAGGTAATTTTTGTTCTGTGAGCTATAATTCTAGATATGTAAAAACTATTTTTTAAAAATGAATAGAAAAATAATAATATTGTAATCAAATAATTTGTATAATATAAAATGTACCTATGCCTCAAATGAGTCATAACAATGTTATAACTAATAACATAATTTAATTTATTTAAAAAAATTTAACAATTTAATAAATTACGGATAATCATTAACTATTTTTCGAGGAAACATATTACAATTTTGGGTAAAAAAACCTTTTGTTTTTTGTATAATACAAATATACAGTATTTAAAATAATATACATCTAAAAATATTCTCTGCGTCACCATGGAAATAAATATTTATAATAATGGATATTAGGTACTGATAAAAATAAAACAATTTTTAAAATAGGTGATTATATGAAATTATTAATAGAGTACAACAAACATATTATAATATAAAAGTATAAATATTTCTGGAAATATGTTTCTTAACCCATTGACGGACACTACTGCTATTGCAGTAATTATATTTATGATACATCTTTTTTTTTTTTTTTAATATATTTATTATAATAATTGACAGTAAAATCAAGGATATAAGATGAATATGGATAAAATATCATTTTAATAGTCATAATCATATTATTAATATTGTTTTTTTCTGAGTTTCTGCACAGTAATAATTGCACAAACATACATATTTTAATACTTGTTTTTTTTTTTTTTTGCTTTGTTCGTTTTGTTTTTATTTTAAACAAGTAAGAGTCGTAACTCGTCACAGCGTGTAGTGTTTGGACGCTGCGGCCCCACCTGCGGGTTACCGAACGCGTCATCTTTTAACTCATTATTCAGATATATTAATTTTTTTGTCAATCTATAGATAAAATAAAAATACGAGTTGATTTAGGTAAATAAAATGATTTAAATTGAATTTCAGGAGAGATAGCCGATAGGAAACTGTCAATATTATATTATAATTATTATACAAAGTAATATAATATATATACGTGTTTATGACCATGTAGATTACACAGGTAGGAGGTAGTTATTGGAAAAATGCTCCTGGTGCTGCATCATCTGGTGGTGATGGCGTTTTGTTAGTAGTGGAATGAAATTTTTCTTCGGCATTGTGCCGACCCACCAAGGGCCCATCGTCATCGTCTAGCCGGTTGTTATAGCAGAGTGAGACATCAACATTCGAAAATAGTTTGACGTAGACAACGTGGTTTTCAATGAAAGTACTACGAGTCTGTGTCCTGTGAGAGACTTGAAGTCTGGTCAGAGGATGTAAAAATATACAACTTAAAGGCTTCGTAGCAAGATAAGGGTCTACTACAGTTATTTTACGAAAAAATTACAATTTTACGATGAATATAGGCGAAAGATTGTAATTTGTCGATATTGTCCATTGATTTTTTAAGTAGAACTCAGTTTGCGTGTTGAGAATAAGGTTAAAAACAAATTAGGACTAAGATTTTTCCGCACACGTTGTAGTATTAATGACCGACTAGGACTCTAAGTTACAGTGTGTACGAGACACCGATTTTTAAAGATGACAGAATAAATGACTCCATGACGACCATCACGACCTACAACGAATACTCATGCTCAATGTATACGGTATACCACACCCATATAGGTAACCCTCAAATATATTTATATAGAAAATAATTAATCAATTGGACAATACATTATATAATATGTATTATGTTAGGATTGAGTACCTACTTTATTCACATAAGGAAACGCTGACTTCAAACGTCAATATTTTTATTGCACACAGATTTCGAGTTTCCATGAAAAAAAAACCTTACAGGAAACGCGTCGGTATGTCAGTGGTTGGTTAAAAAAAGTTTAAGTTACTATTTAATACAGTTACTAAAAGTAATAATCACATATAGCACTATCATGAAATGTTCTGTTTGAAAACGCTGCAAGGTCAAAGATATAAAATAATACCTAAATAATTATACTAAACTATAAAAGTAAGCAACTATAAACGTGTGGACACACTGATTCTTAAACCTATTTACTTATATAATATACACTCGATAAAACTGAAAAAAGTTGGTATTAATACTGCAGTCCATTATAACGCGAAATACAGTTTTTATGGTTTGGTCGTTAAATATCTGATTACTTTTTATATTATCATTAGGAATAATACAAATCACGAATAAAATCGAAAGTGGACACTGGAAAAATCAGGAAATGTAGTTTAAATGTTTGATTCACATAAATTATTATTAAGCAATAATAATAAGACATTATGGCTTACACTTGTAGTCAAATTCAAGGTTACCATCTTCGTCAATGGGTCTCAATCTTAATTTAATATTATCACATTGAAGACTATATCTTATTCCGGAGATAAAATTAGTTTTGCAAATCAATCCATCAATTTCCGATGACTCGGTAAGAGAATTATAGGTACAATTTGGATTTGTATAGCCTATTTCAACACCAAAATGAAATGAAAATACCTGAATTTTTTTGGATCGCGTTCTCATTGTATATCTATTAGGAAAAACGCTTAGTAGCTCGTGTAATTTTTTGTTTTTAAGAAAACTGGCATGAATGGCATCAGTTAATTCATCATCGCTAATTTTTAAATTAGTTTCTGATAGTGATGTTAATTCCTCACCGTTATATAGAACCCCATTTTGTGAAGTACAAACTTCTAAAAAGCCATTACAATCATTTTCCCAGTCAGAATCCGTAAGATTTACATAACTATATTTGGTTGGTAGAAATACAACCAAGTCTGGCGTATTTAAAAGAAACAATTTATTATCTTTAATGAATTCTGTAACAGAATCACAACTTTGCGATACAACGTATAACAAAAAATTGATAAAAACTAAAAATGAATATAATGAGTTTATTAAAACCATTGTTAATACTTAAAGAACTCAAATTAAAAAAATACTAAAAGAAAAATGTTGTAGGCACCTATTAAAAAATAATTAAAACCTATATAATTTATTATATTTTATCATATCTTTCCTATGTTAAGTTTCCTGCAGTTAGCATTATTTAAAAATAAATGTACATAATATTATATATAAATATATACTATATTATTTTAAATACTTACATAAAACCATAAGTCAGTACTTGGAAAGCTTTGGTTATAAATATTATCAAAAAAATATTAAAGAATTTAATTGTAAGTAGAGTAGATTCACTTACTTTGCAAGTAGTATGACTACTAAACGGACACTAAACATTATAATGATTCTCCTCGTATTTATATTCAACCTTGCATAGCAGTCAGCAGTCTTTCCACTTCTTTTCTACTCAATTGTATATGATTTTCCAAGCTTCATTATACTACGATTACTAGTATTTATTAGACTTTTTTATGTGCTTAAACTAAAAAAAAATTCGATGAATTCTACTACATTATTTTAAATCTTGTTAAAAATTTTGTTGAAAATCTTACATAATAACAATTATTGGTTACTTCAAATTGTTTTGATACTCGATACGACGATACACCATATACCTATTTTAAAAATGTATTGTAATAATATCAAGTTATTTATTTTTATAGTAATATGATATTAACTAAGTCATAAATCATAAGAACAAGAACAAAAAGGTTTATTAGTCAACATTTGAATAATTAACATAAATATAAGTGTGTAATAAATGAAAACACTGATCAGTGATCATCACTTTTGACGCAATTTACTATACAAACAACCATAACACTAGATATTTGAATAATAATAATATGGCAACCATAAGTAATAAATTAGTTTTTCAAATGAATTCACACGTTTAAATTTATTAAACAACTTAATAATAATTATACAAAAGATTAATAATATGTATTTAAGCATTATAAAACAACTGGAAATAGTACACTATGTAATGACTCTAATTTCGTTTGCAATATTTATAGTAAAAAACATGTGCATTTTAACGTTGCACATTAAAGTGGATTCAAGTGGTTCAAGTTGTAACTATACATTTTGAACTAATAATATTTGGATTTATTGCGTTTTACCGCATTTTTAAATACCGAGAATAAATTTAACATAAAAATCATAAAGTTTTTTTATAACTTGTAAATAGTTCATTTTTCTCTAAAATCACGTTTGGAAATGGTATGTTTTGTAACAATAATTATTATCACTCATCTTCAAGCGCCATTTAACGTATATTAAATTTATACGCTGCATTTGACCACGACATTTGATTTCCAGTAAATTTTTCAATAATAATCGAACCAAGATATTTTTCGAAAAGTATTTTTTTAAATGTCACCTTTTAATAACATTTCATTATTTACCGTTGTTTAATGTAGGACATTCATTATTTCAAAGATTAATAACGTTTTTGAAAATATATTTTTTACACAATATCTTGAGTGGTTAAAAACCACAGTTTTGTAGATAAATATTTAACTTTTACTATATTTTATTGTGAAATTTTTTTTTTGAAATGTTTAAAAATTTAAAAAGTAATGTAAAAACAAATAACATAATTTGAATATTTTTATACCTAAGTAATAAGATAATATTAATTTGAAGTTTTTATATGAAACTTTTTATAACTTTGTTCTATGTAATGTGCATTATGCATACCTATATAGCGATATAAAAGCGAAATTAATTAATCATTGTTTATACCTATGTAATATACGTGAATAATAATTACTTACTTGGATACAATTCATAGCTGATATCTTCTCTCATAGTTGCGTTTTTTACAAGTGTAAAATGCCTTATATTGTTAGGTATAAATGTATGATACAATTTTTGTTGTTTGAATAGTACTATTTTGTTTGTCCGTGGCAAGAGACTAAACATAGAATATGCTTGGAGAGATGACAATAGCTACCGTTTATATACCTATTACCTACCACTAAATAACCACCAAATGATAATGCTTTACGGAAAACTTCGAAAACATGAACACGACCTTGTTACCTTCTTGCAGTCGACGACAGCCGACAACGTGAAACTGCAACAACACTGGGTTAGATTGCATCGTGGCCAAAAGCGTTTAGTGTTGTTTAGCTTTGCGTTAATTGCTCCAAGTCTCAGGGATATACGAAATAACGATAATTATTCTTAAACGTGTTTAACGCAGCATGCGCCCGCTAAAGCATCAGTACAATATAGTATAATATTATAATAATATATTATATAATTTTATTTTGAAAAACATTTCGGGCACAATTCATAAACATTTGTTGTGATGGTAAGTGTAATAAGTGTTCAGTTTAAAAATAAAATATTTCATTTTAATAATAGTACTTTATGGTGCAAATCTCTGGCATAACAAGTACGAGTAACTCAAATTATAAAGTAACAAATTCAATTAATAATTTTATGAATTACAATAATTAGAATAAATTATTATGATTATTAATAATCTGTAAATGTATTTATGGTATGTACATGTTTAATAAACAACTAAGAGTTCCATTCTTCTAGCGTGCTAAATATTATATATTAACAAAAACTATAGGTATGTATATACATATATCACGAATAAAATTAAATATAAACTATAATCACTTTTGTATGCTTATACTTTATGAATTCTGAAAAAATTTAGTTATCAGTAGACACATTCATCAATTTGATAACAAAACTAAATAAGTGATTACTTCTGTTAACCTAACCTTATTTACTACGAAACATAGTAAAAATTTAATGATAATAAAAATAAATAAATAAAATATAGATACATAATAATATGCCTATTTAATTTACATACAATCATATAAATATCATTAAATAATATTTTAATAAAATTATTTTTTTAAAGTCATCATAAGACGGATTGACACAAAAAGCATAAAATGATTGGATGTGTATTGTGTACGACTGTACTGGACCTTAACGTCCTTAACTATTCATGTTTATAAGTTCACAGATTGAATCATTTTATTGCTATTCACTCATTCAATCTGTTTAACGAAAATAAAATAAGAACTTAATTTCTATAATTTTGTTTTTTTTTATGAAAGGGACATTTCTTAACAATCCATCTTAATATATTGTACGTAAAAGATACATTTAAAACATTTTACGTTCAAATTACGAGGTATAATATTGTATTATTCAATTCTTTCCAAAATTCTAATAATTTTTAAAAATATTGAACCAAAAATAAAGATTTATTATAATATTGAAAAATAGTTTTAATCTAATTTCGTAGGATTAATAAAAATTTGAAAAAAAAAAGTTAAACAATAGTGTGTAGTTATAGTATTGTAATAAATAAAAATTATTATTACAGAACAACGATATTTAAAATCGTACAAACTCTATCAATCACGATTTTTTATTTTCTATTACTAGGAACTATTATTCTAAAATAGTAATTAAAAATTGATAAAAAAGTTAAATTTATTAAGTTTATGATTTAATTTATTGTTATAATTGTAATTTAAAAATCGTATTTCATAATTTAAATAACTAAATTGTATTATGATGCCATATTTTCATCATATAGTGCCTTTTTAGATGATTAATTAGGTACATACCACTATTTTTTGCTTCATTTAATATATTTTATGTAATATTTTACGATCGATCGAAACCCCTGCACGAGAATTGCAAGGATTCATTTTAGATATAAGTAAACGATAATATACGGAAACACATTGAATTTGTATTTGCAGTCGCTAATCAAACGTGACTTGAATGTATCCAGTATTGTCATCAACTACCCATACACAAAATAATTGATCAACTGACAAGTGATATTTTAAGCAAAATTGGTTATCGGAATTAGCAGGTAAATTATGCTATCGTTCGAGTCATTCGGGCAATAGCGACGACGAGAAAATTAAAACAATTATAATATGTAATGCCTCCTCTACATTATTCATGTGCGTACCTACGCAATAATATAAAAATATGTTGAACCATGTACGATTAAAAATAAATTAGTCTTAAAAAAGGACAAGATTTGTGTTGTAAAAATATTTTTAGCATCTTATCTTATAGTTTTAATGGGTATTCTGCACACAATAATAAGAAACCAGTATTCGACATAAAATATCTACACGTATAAATAATGTTTTAAAAAACACGTCTGGTGGGTGAGAATATTATATCGTGAGACATAAGGTTAAATCCATATTATTTAACATTTTATTATATTAATGTTTAACAGTAATTTAAATAATAATGTCTTAAAAGTTTATGCTGATAGGTAGGAACATCGTAATTATCATTGTGACGAACATTGTTTTTATTGATAAATTAATGTTAAATATTTTGTAAAATCTTATCGATCAAATTTCCGTACAGTTGAAACTAGTATCTCAAAATCGATTGTGACAATATTTTTGATTTTTAAATGAAACAATCGATCCTTCATTATTTAGGGGTAAATAATTAAGGAAGAAGTTGCTTTCAAATTTTGAATTTGTGGTTACAATACTTATAACTTTAACGCAGAAGTTTTAAACGTTCCCAAGTGACTGTGTTCCCTAATGTTTTTAAATAATTACAAATAAAAATTGTATCAAAATGTGCAAAAATTTAAAGACATTAAAATATATAGTCGCTCAATTTAATTAATTTTCTTCAATATTAATAAAAATGTTTACAGACAGTTAAACATCTTAAGCATTTAAATAAAGTTTATTTTAAGTTATTTTTATAGAATAAAAAAAATCCGCGTAAATCTATAATAATTTGTTACGAACTCTTTAAATTATCATCATGATATTACAAATATCATAAAAATCAGGAAAATTTGCTGTGTATTTTGTACTTAAAAACTTATAAGATTTTTTAAATTTTTTACCTAAGACTTGAAAATCTAAAACAAGATTCATCAAATATTTTCTCAAAAAAACTCATAATATGATAAAACTGAATGTAAAAAAAAAAAATGACGTTATGACGCTTAACTGCTCGAGTTGTTTCAAGGTTGCAAATTAATGTATTGCGCGCTTGAAAATAAAATACGTGAATATGTTGATACTTACCTATACGTGCCCAAGGTATGTATAAAGTAAATTGTATTTGTACACTGAATTATAAATATTTCAATCATAACACCTTTTTGTAACATATAAAACTAAATTGACAATTTTTATAATTTAATAATTGATAAACCAGGAGTTAAAAATCGTCAATATTTATATTTGAAATATAATGTCATGATACTATGGTAGGGGTAAAAGTTAATTACAACTTTCCAAATAAATATAAGATCAAAATATTGTACTTGTACATAGGTGTATCTATGACTGCAAGAGGCTAATTGGTAGCTAACGCCTAATACGTATTTCTATAATATTATATCATAAAGAAATATTTCCACAGTCTAATAAACATTTGGAAAACAAATTGAATACTAATCAACTGTTTTACTTAATCGCACTGTAGTATTATCGTATCAAAATTTTGTGTACATAAAGCAAATTTATTTATCTATTTTTATAATGAGCTTTGATCGGTGTAACTTTTAATCACCCGATAAGTATAGTGAGATGTATACTCACAGAAATTAACACAATCACGTCCTTTAATTGACATGAATTAAAATTCATGTCAATTATTATAACATTGGTACCTATTATAAGTTTTTAAACATTTTTGAACAGTTGTTCGTTGAGTTTGTGCTAAGTGGCAAACAGTTACGCTAAAACAAATTCACAATTTCACACATATTTTTATTTACTGCCGTAAATTATTGCTTTAATAATTGGTTTAAACACTATGAGTACATATTATAGTTTTAAAATAAAATAATTAATATAATATTTTACAGAAATAATTATACATTTATATGATGTTCAAATAGTAATGATACACTTAAAGTATATACTTATATTATAATATATATATATACTATAATTTTATTGATATAATGGTATAAAATAATCAATAAATACATGAACATCTATTATACAAAGAGAGTACCTATATGCGACCTGTAGTTTAGTTCAAACTTTGATGGACTGAAGTTAATGTCTTTGCACTGTGGGTCTAAGTAAGTTTACTGATGTCATCTATATGTTTTCATTATTTACCACTGACGGTTTATTTGTGAATTTTCTTTCGTTCATATTATTATGTTAGTATGTTACAGATATAAAATATTGGTAAATCAATTTGATTAATTTAAACGATATTCCTTTATAATTTATATTTATTCGTAGCTATGCATTATTTTTATGCTGGTACATAATATTTTAATGCCTGTTTTATTGTTTATATCGTTGTAGACTTTCTTGAATAGTTGTTCGATTAAGTCAAAATTGTTGCGTATAGTCTACGTGTGTGGTTATATTATTATTATTATTTCGTCCATATGAATGCGATTTCCATGCTAACAATATATTAAACAATGTTCAACGAATAATCATAATAAAATCATGGCTTTAAATATAGACATTGCTCAAGTTCTATTAGGTCCCAAGTGCTTAACATTAATGAAGTTTGAGGTAATATTGAAAGTTCGTGATTGTGATGACGTGATCTATATTAAAGTCGTACAATAATAATCATTTCATTTACAATATCGATTTTACAATAAGTAACCTATCTTTATTTTCTAATTGATTATTGTTATTTCCTTATTAATAAAATTATATTGAATAATATATACAACATAAAACATACCTAAATACTTAAAATATAACGTATAATCTAACACAAATTAATACATTTTATATATTGCTTATGAGAAAATATCGAATACGCATCAACAATTAAAAATAACAATTAGTGTTGTAATTTAATAATTATTTTATTATTTAAAAACAATTTAAAAAATAACTAGGATTCGTTTTAGTTTGACTCTAAATGCATTGTTTGACATCCTAAACGACATACGCTATCAACGATCACAAAAATAATGCCTAGTTGACATCACTATAGTTGTATATTCTCACTGATTGAAAGTGAAGTTGTTATGAAAAATATATTATTATTTTTTTAAGGATCGCATTTCGTTTCGTGATCAAGCGCACCATCCTCATCTATGGCATTTAAAAATAGTAGGATATCGCCACAATCAAGGCCATATCTGATGCCAGATAGGAAATGAATCTTGCACACAACTCCTTTTATTTTTGCTATTCTCGACCTGTATTGAAACTTTGTTCGATCGCATCCCGGATTATGGATATCCATATTAATACCGAACACTGTCGAGTAAACCAAAAAGGTATTTTTTTCGGTGCGTGATTTTACAACAAATCTGTTGGGGAAAACGCTTATAATATCGTTCAACTGCGTGTTGCTGGCCATACTGGTGTAAATAGCTAAGGACAAGTCTTCGTCACTTATTGCCAAATTTGTATCAGAAAGCGATACTGTTCTTCTGTTCTTGTACATTACTTCGTTTGACGTAGTACAATTACCGCTCGAGCAAGTGACACCACCATAGTCGGTCGTTATGAATTTAAAATCGATTGGAAAAAACGTTATTGCTTCCGTTGAATTTAGGATGTATAATTTGTTGTTAGTGATCAAATCTATGAGAGGTTGACAGTTGTCAGATCTGACGGACAGTATGCAGTTTATTAAAAATACAATGGAAAACGAGACTGATTTGTCTATAATAGCCATGGTTTATGATAATGTATATTTCTATTGTATTATTTGCGTTATTAAAACATAAAAATATGCCGAAACGGAAAATAATACTACGTAATTACCTTTTTTATTTTTACCCTATTTTATTTACGCGATGTGCACGTTAGATGTATTTTATTAAAACGACTTACAAAGATATTATATTAAATTGTACTCCGTCTTCGATCGGTATTTATGATCACTTTGGAATATATGGTATATGTAAACGGAAGTCTGAAGTCAAAAACAGCGAACACGCGCACTATCAAAACGTTAAAAGGCCTATAACACCGAATATGTGGTATGCTGTTCTAACCACGACACTAAGACAAGTGTACTCTCAGTACTCGTATTTATAACAAAACTTTAGGCGGGCCGTTCTCCAATCGCTTCAGAGTTTGTGTATACACACGTGAACTTGGGCGTGACAGTCGATGCGCCGGCGCTATCGCTGTGTTATGTAGGTTCATAATATATATATAGGGTCCCCCGGTCCGTCCATTATGTTGCGATCTTCTTCGTTTATCATAACCGGTTTAGTTCGCTCGTGTTTGAATATCAAAAACTAATTAAATAGTTTCTCACGAACCATTCACCGCGTGTGTATATAATAATATGCGAATTCTATATAGATACGAAAAAAATATGTACGCTATAAGCAATTTTTATTAGACGTAAATAAATTTGCGCTAGAGTGTTGGTTTGAAGTGCGGTTATAACGATGATGATATTGCGATTCCCACTAGTAAGATGCACAAGCATATACGTTTAATATGTTCACTACCACTAAAGATTTTAGCGTTAATTCTTAACGTATCGTTAACCACGTTAACGTGTTGATAATTTTATACCTACATAAGTTGTTTCATTTTTCTCTCGGTTTCCCAGTTCAAGAATACCTACGTCCATTTTATCTACTAACTACTAGCAGTCCTTTTTTTATTGTTAAACAATATATTATACAATCTATACTGAGTAGCACAATAAGTATATGTGAAGAATGAAACTACACGGAGGAAGCTTGATTAAGAAGTCACTCAATAGTAACATACTTAGTAACACTACTAGCAGTCCTACGTTAATTATCATGAAGTACGATGGAATTGACAATTTCGAGGAAAACTATAAATCTTAAACAATCAACTCCTGTTATGATAGTGATAACTCAATCTTATTTTGTAATGATGATTCGGCGAGCGATCGATGTATATTTTTATACTATTAATTGTTCCTATATTTAACTAACATATTGAGTTTTGTTTACAAATTCATTGATATATAATGATGCCGCATCTCAATGTTGAAAACTTAAGTATTAATTTAAATTAACGGAATTTACTGAATTTCTTTTTACAGACCGTGTCAAATTTATCTACACACTGCAGTGTTATTTTAATTTGTAACTATAATAATTACAGTTTACATCTGTGTGTATAGAAAACAGAAGTTATGATTAAAATACTATTATTTGTAAGATTTCGTGTGTTTTTTTGTTTTTTTGGATAATAAAATACAAGTTTATAGAATGCGGAAATAGTAAAGTAGTCATGACTGGTTGTGTTTTAAATCATGGTTATACTTATGACGTAGCTGGGCTTACCCGAACTGACGTACCGCTGTAATTACTTACAATTATTTTCGCAGAATTTTTTAAAATATAAACGTATTTATTTCGTATCTCCATTTAACCAGTTTATTTGAAAACTATGTATATTATTCTGTAAAAAATCTTTTTACCGATCTAAAACACCAAATGAAATATGTTTTATGTTTTTTTCAAACGGATATATATGAAAAGAAAATATAATTACTTGATATTTTATCTTAACGGTTCTATATGTACTAGAGGATGATATTTCGTGTAATTATAATTTTCTTAGTCGTGAGTTTCGATTGGTGTATTTTTACTTGCAGATTATGACCTACGTGTGTTGCACTATTGACACCGGTTAGGTATTTACTATCATAATGTAAATTGTTAAAACAGGTATACATTTTTTTTTTTTATTTATTAAATAGTTTACGTCCTCAAAGAGCAAAAGTACAGTTAACGTAAATACAAATATATTAATATTAAATTTGGAGAACACATACATAATTAATCATAATACATTTAAGAAATTGTATTTTAATTTCATCTTATCATCTACAAAAAAAGTCAACATTCTTAAATTTGTTACAAACATTTAACATACGATACATATGGCTGCTTAGAACAAAATTGCTTACTCGTATTTCAGTATAAAAAGTGCACAAATTACGACTGGAAAATTGTGATACATTTAAAGAAATCTTTTAGAATAATTCCGAACAACACTTTACGCAACGGTCGCCGGTGTAAAATACAGGCACCGCAGCGACCGGTCTACACTATCACCACCACCACTACAGGTAAAGTAGCGATATTGTCAACTCTCCCATCAACGCTGTAAAGGCCTAGGCAGGACGGGTAAGACAAATTGCACGAGATGAGTACCGGACCCCGACTCTAGACACTTTCAATAGAGACGACACCAATGGCACCATCCGTCTCTGTTATACCATTTTTTTGTTTTTCTTTCTCACTGAAAATAAATAGTGATTTTTGCTGAAGATTGTAATCACTGGCGTTTGTTTTAATTTTTTTTGTTTTTCCTTTATTTTTAATTTCGCCAACACGTTTGGTCGAGTGTCTACCGCCAGTCGTAAACAAGACGTGAGCGGCTGTGCGCGGGTTCTTTTTTTTTTGTTATTTTGGCACAACAACACCCGCCGAAGCCGTGTCATGGACAGTCGATAAAACCACTGAAAGCTTGTATATAAAATACATATCGATAAAATTACATCTAGACTTCAGTAGAATCATATTAAACTTTAGCTCTACTTCTGAAATGAAATGACCAACCAAACCAAATTTATAAATAGATTATAAATAAAATTTATTATCAATAGACAATAATATTACGTATATTAAATAAATTTTCACTAATAATTAAAATAATAAATTTATTGAATATTTTTATGTCCATACTTCCTCGGCACTAACGATCGTTTCTCGTCATCTACTATTTTTTTAGATTTTTAATTATATGAAAATCATGTATTTACAAACCTTTTTCAAATGAAAATCATAAGTATAGAATCAACTTCAGGGATGTTAATAGGTACTATTAATACATTAATGAAATTAGTAAACTACGTCCATTTTTTTTTTTTTATTGAGTCTATAATCGTTATCTTTAGCCATAAACTATATTTTGGTTTATATATTTTCGTATTAAAAAGTACACATTTGAATTTTGATTAAGATACAATTTTATTTTATTATTTTATTTGTATGTAAAATAATAAAATATTAACATAATACAATAAATTTCAGTTATTTTACTTTAAAACAAACATTATACCTAGTAATATATAAATGTTAGGTTGTAATAACTAATAGCTATACTAATATTATACTTATCTAATACATAAAATAAACAATTATTTAAACAAATATTTAATATCAAAACAACGAATAAGTATATAATGTAATTTCACTTCATTTTCTTGACAGATAAGATGATTGGAAGCTTTGGGTTTTGTTTGAAGCTTCAGCTGACTGAATTCATGTACTTACACTTAGAACCAAATAGGAGTGACATTGACTATTTTCATAATTTGCCGACACATTGATTTTGCTGTTGTAGGTTCAATCGAAAATTGAATTTTAAAAAGACTGTTAGATTGTCATGTACGTTTTTTCTTCCAGTTAATAGTTTGTATATATTTATTTTTTTTCTGTTGTGTACATTTTTTTTATGCTAGTGCCAAAACATTTTATAAAGCACATGCACTTATTTATTATTTAGATTTTGAGTTTCGTATTGAACAAATTTCAGCCAAATTCGATAATTGCAACATTAAGCTTTTCAATATATTCAATAGTTACAACACATTCAGCCTCAAGTGTTTGACATCAATGGTTTGGTTATTGAACTTATAACATTTAATTTTTGATCTAGTGAAGTCGTAAGGTTTTCAATTGATTCATGTTTTTTTTTTTTTGCTTTTTTAATTCTTATTTTTCGTATACAATCTTCTTTTAATATTGCTATAGTGTTTAATAATGCACATTAATTAATTTATTCCCTTATAGAATTTAAATTCTATAATGAACATTTTTTGTCAAGTATTATATTTACAAATTATTATAGGTACTAAGTATTCAAATATAATCGGTTGTCACATCCTATTAGGTTCCAAGTGTTGGATGTCAATACTCAATGGTTTCAGTACTAAATTTATTAATTATAGAGTTTTTCTTTAATACGTACAATAATTTATAAAGCACATAAATATTTGAAAATTTAAAATATTAATTTTACATAGTATATTTATATTAGTGACCGGTCAAAATATTTCCGCAGAAATATCTTTGGACAAAATATCACCTCTTAAAAATATCTCTAATGGAAAATGTTTAATAATATTTAAAAATATGTTATAATTATAATATATAATTTTTAGATGTTATGAATTATTAGATATTTTTAACAGGAGGTTTATTGTACGGGAAATATTTATGATATTTTTAATTCGAGATATTTTGTATCAGAAATATTTTGACCTAAAACCATTCATACTTGATCAGAACAATATGTTTTTTTTCCATGGCATTCATAATAATATCGAATAATTTTCACAATATAGGATAATTATTATAAAGTTAACAATACAAAAGTACAAAAATTATATTAATATAATATTTATGTATTATGTCAAAGGTTAACATTTTGAACTTCAAATAAAGATCTCGATCATTTAATATTAATTCTTTTGTAAAAATATGAATTTTATTACGATTTGTAATCATTCAATATGATGAATTACATATCAAAAATTCAAAATAGCTAAAAAAAATTAATTTTATATTGTAAGGATCAGTATTTGCCAGAGAATATAATGTCATATTTTTAGAAAATATTTAACTGATCACTGACAAATAATTTAACATTTTCTGTAAACAGATATAAGTGTTTATTTAATGTATAATTAGATACTTATTTTTGGACTTTTATAATCTGGGCAGTCACATTAAATTTATTTATCGTACAGATAGTACTTTGTCATGTTATAAATAAATAAAAATAAGAAAACAGAGAAAAATTTAAGGGTGAATTGTATTTGGCCGACCAAAATCTTTAATTGTAATATTTGTAGAAATAATATTGTATTGACAGCTTATCCTAATTTATACAGTATTATACCATTAATAAGTATTTATTTTAAGGGTTTTGCGAACACATAACTTTTCAAATACATAAAATATTGAATACATAATATTTAGAGACATTATGATTCGAACACAAAATTTCAA